ATGGAAGTCTTTGACAAAAGAAGCCAAAATATATCAACAATAATACAACACTAACTAATAATGAAGAATCAAGTTGGAAGTCAAGGTAAATTGGGATATGCCTTCTAGTAACATGATGCAAGGCCTACGGTTGGAAGTAGAACTGCTTGCCACTTAAGGAATTTCGTGGTGTTAGGCTAGTCTTTAACAAAATAGGTTATTAAAGTGGCTACACAATATGGTTCTGATAATACACCATATGAGGAAGTACAAATGGTTAGTTGGTACCACTATACCAGAAAAAGAATGTTAAGTTCTAGGGTAGACAAACCAGCGGCAGCAGCAGAGCTTGGCTTGAGATATGGGTTAATAGTACCTGGGCTAATAAGTGGGAGATTAAGGCATTTATGGAAAGAGATGATGCATGAAGAGATGCAAACTGGTTAAGGCAGTGCAAACTCAAGATAAGTTCTTAATCGACAATATAATACCAATTCAGTCATGTGGCGAACCTAACTAGACAGCAAGTCCTGGCTTGAGATACAAGGCTGTAGAAAGGCCACCTGCATCAATCATAGTTGCATGAATAAAGTACCTTAGTGGGAACTTGCAGTGAATCATGCTTGCATATATACCAAATTGGAAGCTTATTAGGAGCCGACACCTAACATACCAAATTAGAAATTATGACTAGTTGTGTGAAACATAGAGAGAATGTAGTATTACTAGAAATAGTTAGTTGGGAAGTGCAAAACTAGGTGAAACATGTGTGAGATATGTAACATTCTAGTAGATTTAGGTCATAGATAAATTAGTCTAAGTCTCTATAATGATGTGTTAGCATATATATAAAGGTTTTGTTGTAATAAGTATATGTTAATAAAAACCAGAGGTGTGATCTCATCTTAATATTAAAAAAAAATATATATATAAATCAGATTTCAAGATTAAGTGCAACATAATTAAAAAAATTCAAAACAAATATTTGTTTTGTCAAAAATTGCTTATTTCTTGAAATTTTATATAAAAAACCACTTTTGGTACTCTTAAAAAAATTTTCATTAAAAATTTTTCTATATAACTAGTGCTATAAAGGCTAGACTAATACTATCACAAATTATGAGTATTGAAGAATGACTATTGCAATTAGCAATGCTTTATTTTAGATCTTTTTCTACAGTAATACAAAATATATCTAGAAGAATAGGTTTTAAAAAACAAAAAAAAAAAGAAAAGAAAAAGATTGAAAATAAAAATAATATATATATATATATTACTTTAAAATTCTTTTCTTTCTTCTATAGTATATTTTTTTCAAATAAATGAAATAAACCAAGCAAGAATAATAATCTAATAAATGATAATAGTTATACTAAGGTTATTATTATAAAGATCATTTCTAAAATAGTTTGAAATTATAAAACAAAGGATATTTAAGGGTTAAAATTGTGAAACTATAAAAATAATATTTTTTTTTTTACTGCACAACTTTGTTTTAGCTCTATCATATTGTAGTTATGCTCTACTCCTCCTAAAAAAAAAAGAAAATAAAAAAAATTAAAAACAAAAAAAAGAAAAAAAGAAAAAAAAGAAGAAGAGAAAAAAAAAAGGTGCAAAAAAATAAAAAGGAAAATAAAAAAAAAGTGAGATGCTTGAGAACTTGCTTGCTAACTTGTAAAAGTTTTGCTTAGCAACTTGCTTTCTGATGCTTAGAGAAGGATCAAAAATTAGATGATTTCCATTTACTAAGAAGCTATATCCACTCCTGTCTGATTTAAACATTAGCCAATTAAATTTAATTATTATAATACATAACCTGATTAATTTGCAAACCCTCACCCCCTAAAAAATCAGATAATTTCTGTCCCTCCTCTTATTGTAATCTAAATATATTATCTGTATATGTTCTTTGTATTAAATTGCTAGTTGTTAGTAGAATTTAAGTAAACTTATTATATTAATGTGCTACATCTTAGTATGAATTATCCCTCTATTTGATGCACTGCACTCTAGCATAAACAATTTCTCTATTTGATGTGCTGCACCTTAGTGTAAACCATCTTCTTATCACCTATCTTGCTATACTTAATACTCTTCTATTTTTATTATGTGATTCCTGTACAACAATGTTGTTTAAAATAAAAGTATTAGTACCTGTAAATGCAGTAGAGCCACAGCATAACACTATTCTCATAGTATATATTTATTGAATAAATAAAATAAACCAAGCAAGAATAATAAATTATTATTGAAGGTAGATTATATTTGATAATATATAATATATATATATAATTTATTGAACTTGACCATTTTTATAAGCTTGAACTGAACTTGAACTGAACCAAAACAATGAGTTCAAGTTTAGTTTAGGTTCATAAATTTAAAGTTTAGTTCAGGTTTAGGTTCAAAGAACTGCAAAATTTAAAGTTCAGTTCAAGTTCAATTAAACTTAAACCTGAACCTAAATTGAACTGAACTAAACTTCAGAACACTAGCTAAAAGTAATGCCAAATACATAATAAGAAGCATCAGTTGCTAGAATAAATGCTTTTTGAAAATCAGTATATTGAAATATAGAGGCACTAATAAGTTAAAGGCCCTAATGTATTTGCAGAAAATAAAGTAATTCATCTTTAAGTTCTGAAACTGTTTTGAATAAGTTGTTATTATATTTTGTTTGTTGCATTTCTCTTGTTTCTGTGATTTTGTAGAATCAATATTTTTGTCATGTGAAATTGAAAAAGAGTTAGAAATTAAAAACCCTTATATATTAACTGCAAAACTGATTAATTTAATGATACTATGGCGATTGGATATTACATTTAACCTAGCCGTGCCTTATAATAAAAAAAAATAAGCATTATACTATATTACCCAAAAGAAATAAGAAAGTATTAGTGTACTAGAAGAGAATTTATACATTAAATGATAAAATATATAACTTTATCTTCGTAACCACCGAAGTATACTTGCCCAAACCAATTTATTCCACATTCTTTCGAAACCTGTCAATTCAGGTGAAAAGGGAGATTTATTAGCAATTGTGTTAAATGTTATTCTCTTCGGATGTGTGTCATTCCGTTCAGCGCAGTTCTGCTATTGAACCATTTTTCGCTATAATTAACTGATAATGCTTATACAAATGGGTGATAAAGCCATTAAATTTATCCCATCCTAGTCTTTTCGATTTTTTCTAATACAGCCAACTACCATTCTAATATATGGGCTTGGTGCTACAGAAAGGGGGAAATTGACAAATTTTTTAAAATTAATTTTTTTACATAAATTAATTTAAAATACAATCAGGATCATTTTTTATTTAAAATACAAAAGTAGTTGTATTAATAAAATTTTGCAGTATAACTTTTTAAAATTTATATTTTCTTATAGCTTATTATAAAATTTATAGCATAAAAATTGATTTTCCGAAGATCTTTTTTTATGTTGATTTCCCCCTTTTCTGTAGCACCTAGCCCATATAATTTAACTCATTACATTAACTTGGACAAAAGTAAAAGTATGTTTTTATTAGCATACCTCTGTAAAAAATATTCCGAATACTAATATTAAATTTAAATTCGTATTTTCCGTTCCTGGTTTTGCGCGATTATGTTTCGCAGCTACCCTATTTTAGAAAATAGTTATGACAAATATATCGTGATGGTAATAATCTATTGAAATGTTTAGATTGATTTCTTCATTTTTTGATTTTTTTTCATAAAAATTTTTATAGATTTAGGTTGACCATCGGTTTAAGAATGTTTCTGTTCAAATTTCAATTTAAAAGAATTTTTGAAACAAGATCTTGGCGCTCAACAGAAGTCGGTACCCGTATTGACCTGATTTGTATCTTGTCAGAGCTAATTTGGAATGCTGTCAAAACACGAGATAAATGCACAGATAGTAGTGGTCATATGACATTAAAATAGAAAAGAATCTTTTTTTTTGTACATTAAAAACTTTTTGGTTTATATTCGAAAATAATGCAACACTATTTGAAATAAAACTCGTGCTCATGAAAGATTTGATTCATTACATTAATATTTTTAAAATTGTTATATGTGAGAACTTTACTATTGACAAACAAAATAAAAAAAAAATAAAAAAAAATATAGCCGGAATTCGATCTAAAAAAAAATTTTCTGCTGCATTATTTATGATCGCTAGTGTAGGCATATAGTAACATCGCTCAAGAAAACTTATTAATGCACGAAGGTGGTTTCTTATGCACACTTTGAGAAATAACCGATTTTTACGAAAGAAACGTTTGTTTTGAATTTTTCTAGTAGTGTCACATTACATGACAATAGGTTTGTATTGAACAATTTTTTAAAAAAATGGCGGCATTTATTTATTAAATCAAAGTAGCACCAAAAACCTACAATTGGGCAAAAAATTTTTCTCCTTCAAATTTAATAAACCACTAATCCATAACTAATGTATATATAATAATATTTATACTAATAAATTCATATATCCAGTGTATAAAATCTGAATCCAAAAATATGTGGATCTTGTGCACAGTGCACACATAATTTATGTGAATATTGTCAAAATTTTGTGCGCCATATGTTTTTTATATATAAAATTTTTATAGAATAATTTGAAAATACATACAATGATTTATGTGCATTATTTAGCCCAAAAGTCTGTGAACTACGTTAAATTTCTAGCCTGAAACTCCTTAAAATATTGTGGGGGCTTATGTTGAAAAATTTTCATAGTTTATTATTAAATTGTAAATTTTTTTAGAACCTTTTTTGTGGTCTTTTTTTTCATAGTTAGGTTAGGGTTAGGGAGTAGTATTTATTAATAAAAAAGTATATGTGAATTTTAGTAGGTTTTATAGATTTAAAAAGAGACCCCAATTTTCAGCATCAGCCCCCACAAATATTATGCACACAGATTTTATACAATCCAATTAATCCGTAATCAATAGAAATACATATAATAAAATTAAACTAAATAATGTTTATGGCATAAGGGGCGTGTGTTAGCATTCAACATTCTTTTTGAAGTTTTCACTTTTTTCCTATTTTATTCAATTCATAATGCAAAATTTTCCTCATGTAAATAATGAATGGAATACTATTATCATAAACGTATTCCTTCAAATTAATTCCCTTATATTTTGAATAATGTTGATGGGCAGTTTTAGCATAGTCATCAACTATACTAATAACCTTGAAACCATCTGGTACTTGTTTTAATGCTGGCAGAGATTTGGATGAACAATATAATCGCATTCCTTCATTAGGGCGATTAATGAAAACGAACAGTTCTGTTTCGTCATTCAGTGGTGAGTGACTCAAAATATACTCATCTTTGAAGAAGTATTTATGTAATAAGGCTAAATTGCTTTTCTTCAACTTAAATCGAAGAAAAGTATCCTTGTCGCATAGCCCAATAAGTGCTTTATTCCATTTTTCGTAATCCAATTTTTTCTTTTCTTTTAGCATTTCAAGGTTAACGCCTTCGATTTTTTGCTGATATTGTACTTTGTCAATATATTTTTCAGCATTTGAATACATTATGCTAATATTCCGGGCTTTATCTATGCATTTCGATTTACGCAATTCAATCTTTTGTTTTTCGAATTGGTATTCATCAGGATCCATTATTTGAACAAAATTCTCTTTATCTATAATTCCTGCTTCATAAATGATTCGGAAATTGATAATAGATCTTTCCGATTCATTATCAATTTTCTTGTAATCTAAACCTAAAGAATCCAACTTCAATTTGCAATATCTTTCATCATCATCTTTGAATTGAATAAAACCACGATCTTTATCATAATATATTTTTTTGTCAAAATCTTCAGAATCCAGATTCAATTCTTCGGTTTCAAGAAATAAGAGCCAAAGACCGATATCATCTTTATTGATATCGAATTGATTATTCTTCAAATAAATGGTGAAAAACTCTGGATCATGTTCTTCAATCTTTGAAATCATGTGCAATAGAACTCTTTTGAGATATAATATTGGCGAAGACGGTACGAATTCTTTGATTGTTTCAAAGATTTCTTCCCAAGTCAAGTCCTTGTCAGAACAATTTTGTACTTCAGTGTCAGAACAATTTTGCACTTCAGTATATTCTGGCAGTTTCACGTCTTTGTGGGCGGATTGGGATTGGGGCAGAAATATTGTCCAATCTTCGTTCATTTTGAAAAGTATTTCAGATACTTGTCTAGAAGGCGACCAAAGGTATGATATATTTGTGAAAGTGATTTTAAGTGACCGCAATGTACGTGTGGTACAAGAAATACTTATAAAGTATATATAAGTCCTATATTAGCGGCAACTATGATAATCTAATATTGTGTCCCTTGAGATTTATTTGCGCGAGTAACACAAACCAAAAAGGAAATCGAATTTGTAAATAAACTAAGTGCGTAAAGATAGAAGTTTAGGGCTAGGGCGTTAACATTATAGGCTATAGCAATAGATTATATGCAAAATTTCGTTTCCAACATTTTTAATTAGTGCACAACGGTCGATTTAAACACCAGCGCGTGTTCGGAATTCATGTCGGGCTGATCCGGAATAGTCAAAATTTGTGCACTACGATTGGCCATCTCCTTTTTAAGGATTGTATTACTCGCGCAAATAGGTGTGCGCCTAACTTGATCATTAAGGAGATGGTCACCGTACGTACGTACGTATAGTTACACGACTTTGGCGTACATATAGTTACACGTTGTAAAAGTGCGAATAATGCACTGGGTCTAGATAATACAACTATACACTACTGTCAAACCCAAAACTTGTCGTCTTTAGTGTCACGTGAATAATGCCATACGTAATTCGTGATGTATTACAAGTGCCAAGAATTCTACCAATTCTACTAGTTCTAACCGTTCTATTATTTACTTCACTGTTATTAGTTTTTCATATGTATTAGTTATATTTGCTTGCACATCAATTAATCCATAGAATAGATCTAGTATAATCGATATATAATATTTTCCAGTCCAAGAACATGTATAAATAGCTCTGTTATTTTCTCTCGAATCATTAGTTTTCTCACATAACAAAGTAATAAAGAATAAACTCATATTAATACAACTACTTATATCTTCATATATATTTAGCGTTTGCCTCTTTCATAACTGCAAATCACTTGAATCCTCTTAAAGCGTAAATGCAATAAACCATATATTTTACTTAAGCATAAACACGGTATTGTTATCAATCATCTAACATATCCGTAGCTAAAGTAGAATCGTTATTGAGCTCATAAGAGGTAGCTTTTAGGTGTAACACTACTAAAACTGACTAAACTACTCTAACCAGAACACCACAACTAGTACAACCAAACCCTAATAGTGGTAAGGCAATGATCGAGGCATGGAAAGACATGTCCGAGCAATTTAATAGCTAGTGTGTGCCTTGTACAGTACTATACGTACTGTACTGTATGTACTGTACATACATACTGTGCGCTAAAATTTTTGCTGATCATTTATTAAGAGGGCCTGATGGGCCAATTGACCAATCAAATTCGTTAATTGATCAACATAGATAATTCCCCTTACTTGTTAGATAAACTAAAACTTGATCATGTGGCGGCTTTGCCGCCGAAGTTTATTATCTGTAAGTATTATAATATTATGGGTTTGTTTAATGATATTTAATTATTATAAGGCTTTATTAAGCTGTATAGATTGTCACAGATAATTGTGAAATTAGATGATAGTAAAATTTAAAGATCTCAACTTGAAAATATAAACTCTACCAAGATCTATCTACACTCTTTTACTATTATATTTTTCTAAAAATAAGCATGTTTTTTTGTATATAATGTTGGCTGTGATTATATAAAGTAGACCAAAGTTGATATAGTATAGAGATGGTAAATGATCTAAACTGGCCCAAATAACATATAATTAATTATTTGTTATTTTATGATTCAAATGATCTTAGAAGGTTATTTAACATATGTTAGTTAATAATTTAATACTTTTTAACCAATCAGAGTTGGTTGTAAAAAAAATTTTTTTTTTTTTTAATCTTCGCAATGTTGCGTGAAGGCAGATTTTATTAGATATTTTAGATAGTACGTTCTTGGTTAACAAGAATACATGTAGCCACATATGCAACTTTTGGTTACCTATTTAAGTAGTCTGCTTAAAGGTTCTACACTATATACTGTATCTGTAACCCAATTAAGAGATTAACCATTTAAACCCTCTAATGTCTCCCATCCTGTACCATCCACCACAATCATGCCAGTACATAACCTCATGCTGCTTCTTATTGAAGACTACTCAGATCGCATCTGCTATACTACTTGTACTCTAATTCTATAAATAATCTAGTAGGGTTCTCATACTACCAGGTTGCTCTAGGGAGGGTGTAGTACATACTCTTCTAATCTTTCTATATCCTATGTATTTTCAGATTAGACTATGAATACCTTCTGCAATACAGTTTAAGAGATACTTTTTGCCATGTTCTTTGACGATCAGTAATTATCAATTTATCATATTGGCAAAAAATTCAAAAGAAAAAGATGTAAAATTTAAAAAAACTCAAAAAGTAGAAGCATGACTATAGATGGGAGTGGGCATATAAGTGTCAAAAGGATACTTTCTTTACTAGAATTTAAGTGTTTTCAAACGATTCATTTTTTTTTCTTTCTTTCTAGTATGCATATATACAGTACAGTACATAGTATAGTATTATATAGTATATAAAAATGGCGGGAGTAAAAATGTCCTTTTGTGGATATTGCAAGTAAATTTTTTATGGCGATAGCTACATAACTGCAAAGGATAATTGCACCACGTAAAACAAATAACATGTTACATGGCCATATACAGTAAAGATGAATAGACCAAATTTTAAATGATTAAATACATTCTAACCCGTAACCCTAATCCTAACTCTAATATAAATAAATATTAAAGAATTTTTGCTGCACCACAAAGCTGGCACACATTCAAGTAATGCACCATTGATGAAACGTTTCATCATTGCAAAATAATTTCATCACCCATCATTAGTATATACTAAGCTTTACTCCTAACCAGTGTTTAAAATTTGATGTTCTCATGCTTTTTAAGAACATTTAGCAAATTTTATAAACATAAATTATTGAAAAATGTTCTCTATTTGAGAACATTTAACTGATTTTTTTAATATTAAAAATTTTTTAACTTTCTAATACTGAGAACATTAAAAATTTTTTGAATTCAAAAAATGTTTTTTTGAGAACATAAATCAAATTTGAATTTAAAACACTGCTCCTAACCCTAGCATTGTGACTCTCATGCGTTACGTATTTGTGCTAATAAAAAAGGATATTTTTGTTTTTTTCCTTTTTTGGTTCGTATCAAGTAAATCTGCTTTAGACAACCCCAAAACAGTAAATACAATGAAACTATATTGTAGATCCAGGGGGGAAGGAAATGACTTCCGATATGGTTACACACAAATATCAACCAATCATACTATAAATTTTGCCAGTCACCTGCACACCGGCCAATCAAATTGTAAAAAAAATTTGAGGGATTAACAGGGATTAAAAGAATATGTTATAAAGTGAAGTAAAAGCGTATATTCATCCGTTATATTTACTCGCGTTTTATCGATGGTAAGCTACCCGGGCTTTTTTAAAAAAAGTATTGCAAAATGTATAAAAAAAATTGTTTATCAATTGTGTGACGATCGGGTGACTCAGGTAAATATTTCCTAATTTGGGACGTTCCCCCTGGATATTGTAGATCATTTTGACCAAAAACAATACCGTATTCCTCCGAAAATAAGCACCCCTTTTTTGCTATAAGGTTGCTTATTTTCGGGTATAATCTCATCTAATAATTTGAATGACTTGATATTTTGTTGCTTATTTCTATTATATAAGAGGTGCTTATTGTCGGGTATATATGAATTGTAGGGGGTGCTTATTTTCGGGGGTGCTTATTTTCGGAGGAAACGGTAAATACAATGATTTCTAATTAGTTTTGAAGTTAGCTTTAGACCTGGGATTCACAAATTTAGTGTGGATCCCCATTTTTTTAAGTACGTACGTACGTACGCACGTACAAAGTCATGTGACGCATGCAATTGCTGTAGGTTTACGAAATACCGTGTCTATTTTAAAGGTATCTTTTCTAATTTCATATTGATAACAATCTCTGACATAAAGAAAATCATCCAATTATCATTTCCTGCCCCGAATAGTAAATTACTGTACATATTGGTCAACCATTTTGTTGAAAAAGTTGACCTGATTTAGGTTAGGCTTGGATTGATCTATAGTTAATTGTTTACCAGAGGCATATTTTCGGCGAACTCTACCAAACCAAATTAATTCAAATAGCCGAATATTGTCTATTACTGAGAAATACAAGGCTGTCGAATTTTTTTTGGGAAGGAATGTAGGTCTTATAAATCCATCACTAAGACACTAATTTTTAAATTCTAAAATTGATAACGGATTAGTACATATACTAGTATAGCACATGTCACTCTTGCACCTGGTAAGGTACCGATAGGCTTAATTCAGCATTACCTTATGATTTAATTGATTCGAATGTTAAGGAATTTGAAATCATCTGAACAAGTAAATACGTTTTCAAGAAAGCCTTAGAAATTAAAAGACTTTGGCTACATGAAAATTCATGAGAACACGAGTCTATTAGTTTAGATTAGTAGCAAAAAAAAATTCGACCGCCCGACAGAACCTCGAAATGTCAAATAACGCAAAACGAAAAATTCAACTTTGTGTGGCCTAATATAAACATTATAAGTGCGTATATCTCTTGTTAAATACAAAATGATACTTTCAAAGCATCTTCGTTGGCAATAATTGAAAAATTTAGAAAAATTATCAGTCGAAAAATTAACCATCTTTAGTCAGGTTCTAGGTATTTTTAATACTTTTTCGGGATAATTTTTGGTAAAACCCGCGACAAATATTTAAAACCACGATAGATATGTAAAACCCGCAATAAATATGTAAAACCCGCAATACATATGTGAAACCAACAATAGTCATGTAAAATCACAACGGCTATGTAAAATTTGAAATAGTCACGGAAGAAAAAAATCGGATTATTGGATTAATCTTTCAATTAATACAGTAATTTTAGTAATTCTATCAATATAGCGCAGGATCTTTTATAAATTATAAAAAAGCTTTTAAATACAACATAATA